TATGCGGTCATATTCAATGAAACATATATATATTTATATATATATATATATATATATATATATATATATATATATATATATATATATATATATATATATATATATATATATATATATATATATATATATATATATATATATATATATATATATGTGTGTGTGTATATCACGAAAATTAACACGTGATTAAGAATGTGACAATGTCAGACCACGGAGGAAAAATGAAACAGGAAATTTCCTTAAGTACTTTCGTATATTAAATACATCTTCAGAAGGTCCAAAAGGACCTTCTGAAGATGTATTTAATATACGAAAGTACTTAAGGAAATTTCCTGTTTCATTTTTCCTCCGTGGTCTGACATTGTCATATATATATATATATATATATATATATATATGTCGTACCTAGTAGCCAGAACGCACTTCTCATCCTACTATGCAAGGTATAGTAGTTGGTTGTCTCTTCAGAGGTTGCATGGCGTTTCACTTTCCTTCTTATGATGTCTTCGACGAAACCATTGGAGAAGCCATTTCGTCGAAGACATCATAAGAAGGAAAGTGAAACGCCATGCAACCTCTGAAGAGACAACCAACACAACACCTATACCCCCTATTAGACTATTTTACAGGAACTTCTTTTCCACAGCTCATAAAACGGAGGAAAGGGTCCTGAAAGATATTGTTAATAGAAACGTTATCCCTACAGACAAAAATCAGAGGATACAACTGACGATTTACTATAAAACCAGAAAACGGCCAGCCTACTCATGAGAAACTCTCCAGACACAAAGCAGAACGCTTTAAAAGAGACCAACGTCGTCTATGCCTTCAAATGCCCTCTTGGGGACTGTAAGCTCCAAAAAACCCAGTATATAGGCAAGACAACAACATCTCTTTCTAGGCGTTTAACGATGCATAAGCAACAGGGCTCCATTAAGAAACATATAATCTCTTCCCACAACCAAACCATCGCCAGAGAAATCCTAGTAAACAACACAGAAATCATCGATAGATACAGCGATAGCAGGCGGCTTGACGTCTGCGAGGCTCTACACATCAAGAAGTCAACACCAGCAATCAACAGCCAATTAATGCACAACTATATTCTACCCACCTACTCAAGACTCCGCTCCAATATAGAAGCATCAAGAAATATGGACCAATAGGCTTTCTACAAATCACTTCCATTCAATACCCATTGTTTCGTGTTCTGTCTTGTGTTTAGGAATTTAATACCCTATTAATACCACCTCACCTCATCCACCTCACTCAAATGTAGATATAAACAAATCGAAGATGTGTAAGTTCTATTCAGTTGTGTATGTGTAAGCTAAAGTCTTTGAAAATGTAATAAGTTTTACGAAACGCGCTCGAGTGTCGCGTCAGACTAGAAATAAAAATGAATTTTGGAGAATTGATTTTGAATTACCACCAACAGTGAAAAGAAACGTACGAAAGATCGAGAAAATTCGTGTTAGAATTATTAATCTTACTTTTTCGGTCATATTTAATAATATATGTCTAAAGGAAAGACTGCTACCAAAATATACTAATATATATATATATATATATATATATATATATATATATATATATATATATATATATATATATATATATATATATATATATATATATATATGAAAATGAAAACTCACACCCAGAAGTGACTCGAACCCATACTCCCAGAAGCAACGCAACTGGTAACTACAGGGCGCCTTAATCCGCTTGACCATCACGGCCGTCAAAAGGAAGTGATAGCCGAGGCTATTTGAGCCACTTCCCCGACGGCAACTCGGATGGTAATCTTGGGCATAGCATTTCACCAAATCACCTCATTCTTTGGGGCACACGTGAGGAACACAAATAAAAAAAAAACACAAAATTTTTGTGTTCCTCACGTGTGCCCCAAAGAATGAGGTGATTTGGTGAAATGCTATGCCCAAGATTACCATCCGAGTTGCCGTCGGGGAAGTGGCTCAAATAGCCTCGGCTATCACTTCCTTTTGACGGCCGTGATGGTCAAGCGGATTAAGGCGCCCTGTAGTTACCAGTTGCGTTGCTTCTGGGAGTATGGGTTCGAGTCACTTCTGGGGTGTGAGTTTTCATTCGCATATAGTCCTGGGGACCATTCAGGCTTGTTCGCATATATATATATATATATATATATGTCGTACCTAGTAGCCAGAACTCACTTTTTGGCCTACTATGCAAGGCCCGATTTGCCTAATAAGCCAAGTTTTCATGAATTAATATTTTCTCTAATTTTTTTCTTATGAAATGATAAAGCTACCCATTTCATTATGTATGAGGTCAATTTTTTTTTTATTGGAGTTAAAATTAACGTAGATATATGACCGAACCTAACCAACCCTACCTAACCTAACCTAATCTATCTTTATAGGTTAGGTTAGGTTAGGTAGCCGAAAAAGTTAGATTAGGTTAGGTTAGGTAGTCGAAAAACAATTAGTTCATGAAAACTTGGCTTATTAGGCAAATTGGGCCTTGCATAGTAGGCTGAGAAGTGAGTTCTGGCTACTAGGTACGACATATATATATATATATATATATATATATATATATATATATATATATATATATATATATATATATATATATATATATATATATATATATATATATATATATATATATATATATATATATATGTCGTACCTAGTAGCCAGAACGCACTTCTCAGCCTACTATGCAAGGCCCAATTTACCTAATAAGCCAAGTTTTCATGAATTAATTGTTTTTCGACTACCTAACCTACCTAACCTAACCTAACCTAACTTTTTCGGCTACCTAACCTAACCTAACCTATAAAGATAGGTTAGGATAGGTTAGGTAGGGTTGGTTAGGTTCGGTCATATATCTACGTTAATTTTAATTCAAATAAAAAAAAATTTGACCTCATACATAATAAAATAGGTATCTTTATCATTTCATAAGAAAAAAATTAGAGAAAATATATTAATTCAGAAAAACTTGGCTTATTAGGCAAATCGGGCCATGCATAGTAGGCTGAGAAGTGCGTTCTGGCTATTAGGTACGACATATATATATATATATATATATATACGTAAGGAGTCTATATATATAAACGTATGTCGTATCTAGTAGCCAAAACGCACTGCTCGGTCTACTATGCAAGGCCCTATTTGCCTAATAGGCCGAAAAATTTTCTTTATTTTCCTTAAATTGTTTCCAATTGGTTTATTTGAATTATTATTATTATATTATACCAGGAACATAATTTATTTACATAGTTATATTAGTTTAGGATAGGATAAGATAGGTTAGGTTAGGTTAGGTAGGGTTGGGTAGGTTCGGTCGTATATCTTCGTTAGTTTTAACTCAAATTAAACAAAATGAACTCATACATAATGAAATGGATAGCTCTATCATTTCATAAGAAAAAAAAGTCGAAAAATATATAAATTCAGAAAAACTTGGCTTATTAGGCAAATTGGGCCTTGCATAGTCGGCCGAGTCCGACGTTCTGGGACCACAGAATCACACGGACTGGACGCGTGTTCTTTTGGTCCCGGGTCCGATCCCGGGCGCCGGCGAGAAACAAGGGGCAGAGTTTCTTACATCCTGATGACCCTGTTACCTAGCAGTAAAAAGGTACCTGGGTTTAGTCAGCTTTCACGGTCTGCTTCCCGGGGGGTGGAGGCCTGGTCAAGGACCGGGCCACGGGGACACTAAGCCCCGAAATCATTTCAAGATAACCTCAAGAGATATATATTGGACTACACCGGCGTTGCAACCTTAGCCAACACCTATGTTAACTTCAGTGCTGCACAGGCAGGAGGAGCTGCCAATCACCGAGAAGCAGCCAAGTCATGTAAATACGGAGACCTTAATCACCACTACAATTTTCTCCCCATTGCCCCATAGACACTTTGGTGCCTGGGGTAAAAGTGCTGCAAGTTTTTTGAAAGAGCTGGGGTCCAAACTAATTGAAACCACTAGAAACCCTAGAGCCGCCAGTTTTCTCTTTCAGCGCCTTAGTGTGGCAATCCAGAGAGGAAATGCTCACTGCATCCATGGTTCCTGCCGCCATCTGAGGAGCTGGAGGAGCTGTACAACTTGTGACAAGTAGTCTTGTATCTTGCATGTAACTATTGTTGTAACCCGGTTACAACAACCCGGTTTTACGCAGCCGGTCGGCCGAGCGGACAGCACGCGGGGCTTGTGATCCTGTGGTCCTGGGTTCGATCCCCGGCGCCGGCGAGAAACAATGGGCAGAGTTTCTTTCAACCTATGCCCCTGTTACCTAGCAGTAAAATAGGTACCTGGATGTTAGTCAGCTGTCACGGGCTTCTTCCTGGGGGTGGAGGCCTGGTCGAGGACCGGGCCGCGGGGACACTAAAGCCCCGAAAACATCTCAAGATAACCTCAAGATAACACTTTTTGTGTAATGAAATTTTAAAATAAAGTTAGTTATATATACATACATATTAAAAGAATAGGGGGTGGTAGGAGAAGAAAATATCAAAGTGTTCAGTGAGGATCCACAAGGTTTTCTCTGAGTGCTCATTATTTTCTTCTCCGAGGCTATGGGTCCCGATACTTGCACCACAGGTGGTATCCCTTTTTGGTTTAAAATATATATATATTGCATATGAGAGCATAAGAATGGAAGTAACTGCAGAGGGCCCATTGGCCCATACTTCCTCTTGATGCTTCTATATTGGTTCGGAGTCTTCAAATGGGAAGAATATAGTTGTGCATTAATTGGCTGTTGATTGCTGGTGTTGACTTTTTGATGTGTAGTGCCTCGCAGATGTCGAGCCGCCTGCTATCGCTGTACCTATCGAGGATTTTCTGTGTTATTATTATAACTGTATAATAATAGCTATATTTCTGTATAATAATAATAATAGCTATCTGAATACAACACAGATAGTTATTATTATTATTATTATTATTATTATTATTATTATTATTATTATTATTATGCTATTTTTAGGTCACACAAAGAAGTCTGCATAAGTAATAGCTGTAGTAATGATAAACTAAGCCATCTTCCTTTAGTAACGACACAATAATTCATCAGATCCATGCCGTCCTGAAAATCCTCTGCTTCATAAGATTCTTGATTGAGGTGACGACATACATGCACCAATCCTGCTCTCACCAAACATATAATGAAGACAACGACTTGTGTGCAGATCCGATTCTTCATATAAGTATGTATCCGAATTCCTGACCCTTTGATTCGTTTATGCAATGTTTTGCATTCTTACCATTTTGTTGGATATGTTCTGTATTATCTACCATAATATGTCGAATATATGCTATAGTATGTAACATAATGTGACATATTATGCTATGATATGAAACATTAACTGAAATATTGTGTTCTACAGAATGTGACATAAAATATGCATTATACACAATGATGGGCTGATATGTGTAGCATAATATTTCATGTTGTATATTCCATATTATGTGTTATATTTACCCTAATACGTGGCACAATGAACCATAATATATGACAATGAATTACAAAGTGATAAGATGATTCATGGTATATTATAAAATATAATCACATGAGTATCAATGAATCACTAATGGTATAATGAATCAATCAGTACATCATTATATGCTACCATAATCATAATATGTGATAAAATGAATCATAATATAAAAATAAATATACTTTGAGCTATAGAGACGTGAGCTATGTTGTATGGCATAATAGGTGCTTGTCTGTATATTGTAATATGTACCTTAGTATGTCTTAAGACATGCTATAATATGTATCATAATATGTTTCAAATAATATGTGCTATGATATAAACTACAATATGTGTTTCAATATATGCTATAATGTGCCATGCTGTGTGCTATATTATACTTTGTGCCATGCAGTGTGCTTTATTAATAATTTGTCATTATACGTGTCATAATATGTAAAATATATAATAATTACATTAAGGCATATGCGTTAATGTAATATAATCACATATGCATTATGTATCACATTATAACATATGAGATACACTGTATCGCACTTTAACATATGTGATACATTGCATTATATGTATCACAATATTTAGTATAATGTATCATAAAATACGACTGAATGTCATAATATGCGCTACAATATTTGTCATGTCATAATGTATGTTGTAATGTAACATAATATGTGCTTCAATATGTGTCATGTCATAATATGTGATGTAATGTATCATAATATGCGCTCTAATTTGTGTTGTAATGTATCATAATATGTGCTACCAAGGTACATGCCAGCAGACACAATGATACCATCACATAAGTAAATGCCTGCAGACACACTGATACAATCACATCAGTACATGACAGCAGACACAATGATATCATCACATCAGTACATGCCATCAGACACAATGATACCATCACATAAGTACATGCCTGCAGACACACTGATACAATCAAATCAGTACATGACAGCAGACACAATGATATCATCACATCAGTACATGCCAGCAGACACAATGACGCCATCAAATCAGTACATGCCAGCAGACACACTGATACAATCACATCAGTACATGCTAGCAGACACAATGATATCATCACATCAGTACATGCCAGCAGACACAATGATATCATCACATCAGTACATGCCAGTAGACACAAAGATACTATCACATCAGTACTTGACAGCAGACGCAATGATACCATCACATTAGTACATGCCAGCAGACACAATGATACCATCACATCAATGAATGCTAGCAGACATAATGATACCATCACATCAGTGCATGCTAGCAGACACAATGATACATCACATCAGAACATGCCAGCAGACACAACGATATCATCACATCAGTAATGCCAGCAGACACAATGACACCATCACATCAGTACATGCCTGCAGACACACTGATACAATCACATCAGTAATGCCAGCAGACACAATGATATCTTCACATCAGTACATGCCAGCAGACACAATGATATCTTCACATCAGTACATGCCAGCAGACACACTGATGCAATCACATCAGTAATGCCAGCAGACACAATGATACCATCACATCAGTGCGTGACAGCAGACACAATGATACCATCACATCAGTACATGCCAGCAGACACAATGATACCATCATATCAATGAATGCTAGCAGACATAATGATACCATCACATCAGTGCATGCTAGCAGACACAATGATACCATCACATCAGTACTACCAGCAGGCACAATGACATCATCACATCAGTACATGACAGCAGACACAATGATGCCATCACATCAGTACGTGACAGTAGACACAACGATACCATCACATCAGTACATGACAGCAGACACAATGATACCATCACATCTGTACATGACAGCAGACACAATGATGCCATCACATCAGTACATGCCAGCAGACACAATGATACGATCACATCAGTAAATGACAGCAGACACAACGATTTCATCACATCAGTACATGACAGCAGACACAATGATACCATCACATCAGTAAATGACAGCAGACACAATGATACCATCACATCAATGAATGCTAGCAGACATAATGATGCCATCACATCAGTGCATGCTAGCAGACACAATGATACCATCACATCAGTACATGCCAGCAGACACAACGATATCATCACATCAGTAATGTCAGCAGACACAATGACACCATCACATCAGTACATGTCTGCAGACACACTGATACCATCACATCAGTACATGACAGCAGACACAATGATGCCATCACATCAGTACATGCCAGCAGACACAATGATACTATCACATCAGTATGTGACAGCAGACGAAGTGATACCATCACATCAGTAAATGACAGCATACACAATGATACCATCACATCAATGAAAGCTAGCAGACATAATGATACCATCACATCAGTGCATGCTAGCAGACACAATGATACCATCACATCAGTACATGCCAGCAGACACAACGATATCATCACATCAGTAATGCCAGCAGACACAATGACACCATCACATCAGTACATGCCTGCAGACACACTGATACAATCACATCAGTAATGCCAGCAGACACAATGATATCATCACAACAGTACATGCCAGCAGACATACTGATGCAATCACATCTGTAATGCCAGCAGGCACAATGATACCATCACATCAGTGCGTGACAGCAGACACAATGATACCATCACATCAGTACATGCCAGCAGACACAATGATACCATCACATCAATGAATGCTAGCAGATATAATGATTCCATCACATCAGTACATGCCAGCAGACATACTGATGCAATCACATCAGTAATGCCAGCAGACATAATGATACCATCACATCAGTGCATGCTAGCAGACACAATGATACCATCACATCAGTACATGCCAGCAGACATGCCAGCAGACACAATGATACCATCACATCAATGAATGCTAGCAGACATAATGATACTATCACATCAGTGCATGCTAGCAGACACAATGATACTATCACATCAGTACATGCCAGCAGACAAAACTATATCATCACATCAGTAATGCCAGCAGACACAATGACTCCATCACATCAGTATATGCCAGCAGACACACTGATGCAATCACATCAGTAATGCCAGCAGACACAATGATACCATCACATCAGTGCGTGACAGCAGACACAATGATACCATCACATCAGTACATGCCAGCAGACACAATGATACCATCATATCAATGAATGCTAGCAGACATAATGATACCATCACATCAGTGCATGCTAGCAGACACAATGATACCATCACATCAGTACTACCAGCAGGCACAATGACATCATCACATCAGTACATGACAGCAGACACAATGATGCCATCACATCAGTACGTGACAGTAGACACAACGATACCATCACATCAGTACATGACAGCAGACACAATGATACCATCACATCTGTACATGACAGCAGACACAATGATGCCATCACATCAGTACATGCCAGCAGACACAATGATACGATCACATCAGTACATGACAGCAGACACAACGATTTCATCACATCAGTACATGACAGCAGACACAATGACACCATCACATCAGTACATGCCTGCAGACACACTGATACAATCACATCAGTAATGCCAGCAGACACAATGATATCTTCACATCAGTACATGCCAGCAGACACAATGATATCTTCACATCAGTACATGCCAGCAGACACACTGATGCAATCACATCAGTAATGCCAGCAGACACAATGATACCATCACATCAGTGCGTGACAGCAGACACAATGATACCATCACATCAGTACATGCCAGCAGACACAATGATACCATCATATCAATGAATGCTAGCAGACATAATGATACCATCACATCAGTGCATGCTAGCAGACACAATGATACCATCACATCAGTACTACCAGCAGGCACAATGACATCATCACATCAGTACATGACAGCAGACACAATGATGCCATCACATCAGTACGTGACAGTAGACACAACGATACCATCACATCAGTACATGACAGCAGACACAATGATACCATCACATCTGTACATGACAGCAGACACAATGATGCCATCACATCAGTACATGCCAGCAGACACAATGATACGATCACATCAGTACATGACAGCAGACACAACGATTTCATCACATCAGTACATGACAGCAGACACAATGATACCATCACATCAGTAAATGACAGCAGACACAATGATACCATCACATCAATGAATGCTAGCAGACATAATGATGCCATCACATCAGTGCATGCTAGCAGACACAATGATACCATCACATCAGTACATGCCAGCAGACACAACGATATCATCACATCAGTAATGTCAGCAGACACAATGACACCATCACATCAGTACATGTCTGCAGACACACTGATACCATCACATCAGTACATGACAGCAGACACAATGATGCCATCACATCAGTACATGCCAGCAGACACAATGATACTATCACATCAGTATGTGACAGCAGACGAAGTGATACCATCACATCAGTAAATGACAGCATACACAATGATACCATCACATCAATGAAAGCTAGCAGACATAATGATACCATCACATCAGTGCACGCTAGCAGACACAATGATACCATCACATCAGTACATGCCAGCAGACACAACGATATCATCACATCAGTAATGCCAGCAGACACAATGACACCATCACATCAGTACATGCCTGCAGACACACTGATACAATCACATCAGTAATGCCAGCAGACACAATGATA